CAGACAGACAGACAGACAGACAGACAGACAGACAGACAGACAGACAGACAGACAGGGGGAGAGAAGAGAGAGAGAGAGAGATCTTTTTACTACCCACATCTATCTCAGTTCAATTGTCTCCTTACGGGACAATGGTTTCAGCACATTGATGTATCGACTAGAATTCACGATTTCCAGAACCCCATTGATGTTCTCGATAATAAAGTGGGCACAAAGATAAGAGTGACTATATATAGTTCAATAAACATCACTCAGCCATTACTTATGTATGATATTCCATAGACCAAACGCCGAGCTTGGAACAGCCCGCAATTGTGTGTGATGCAATTGACGCGAGTATGACAATATAACTCTCGGTCGCAATGCAATTCTATTGAGGAAACGAGGGAATCGATTTCATGTACGACACTCTATTGTGTTGTTTGGCCTCACTTGTTTTGAAGTATCGATGTGACCCACTTTTCCAATATTTAACCGTGTCAGTGTTATGAATTCGTCATGTGACCAGAAGCTAAGACAGTGTGATTGTTTTTTTTACTGTGGGTGTTTTTACCCCCGATCGACACAATCTAGCTAGGATGTAGGGTTTCGACCCTCTCTGTGAGGGCAAACCCGGGCTGAGGGGGATACAACGTTACAGCAGAAAGACCGAGGTACACAATAAAAATTCACCCCACTCGGGAATCGAACTCGGGTCTCCTTCGTACGACAGCGTCGAAATGCCTGAACGTTACACCACAGACGCGGTAGGCAGACTGAGACGGTGTCTGGGACAGTTAATTTCTACTAAGCGCACTCAGGTCAATGTATTGTACTGTAAGGCTTCCATCTCCCCTAGGGGGCTAAATAACTCAACTTGAATGGTGTTCGCCTGCCAACCGGAAGGTCCAAAGTTGATCACCTTCAGAGTCGTGGGGGGTTCGTGTTTACTAAACGTCCTGATCCAAGGGTAAATGGGATCGAACACCTGGTATTTTCGGATCATCATCATCATCCAGGGCCAGATCTGCGGCAAACATCGGCGACCATGGTTCTCCTTTCATTCCTTTGCTAGGATGCTCTTTAAAAAAGCTATGTTTCCCTTATCTTTCGCGGTTACCTATATTTAGCTTAGGTTCCCTAAGTAGGTTGCTCTAGGCCTACCCCTGCCTCGTTTGCTATCAAATTTTGCCAGTGAGAGCTAGATGCTTTTTTTCAGATCAGGACAACATGATTGCCGGGGGTCCTGTGCGGACGTTATGTACGCTACAGATCCTCTAGCAGTCTTTAAATCGAAATAAGTAGAGATTCTTTGTATACGTGGCTGTCTATCAAGCAAGGTAGGCCTATGATTTTATGCTATGTAGACAGGCAAGGTAGGCCTATGATTGTGTAGATAAGACATCCATGCACGGAAAAGTCAGCTACAGTGGGAGATAAGGATCTTACAATGACCCCCCCCCCCCCGATAGATGGTTGACGGGTGCTCTGGTGTGGTTTGCTTCTTCTTCCCTATCAAACATCTATCGTCCTTGTCTCCCCTCCTATTTCATGTTTGTTACTCTCTTGTAAAACCTCTATTCTTCAGCACTTATATGACCTTATTGCGTAGCAAGTAAAACACTTACTAAAACAAACATAAAACAGTGATCCCCTGCCCCTTCTTGAACTCTAGAAAGGGTATGTAGAAAAAGAACAACGTCTCCTCTACCGTCACGATAAGGTCATAGGTTATAAAGTAAACTTCAGCCTACCATACGGAATGTACTTGACTTAATAACGCACATCAATGGTCTCCAACTCCACGGTGCGTGTGTGTGTGAGTGTGTGTGTGTGTGTGTGTGTGTGTGTGTGTGTGTGTGTGAGTGTGTGTGTATGTGCGTATTTGTGTGGGAGTGTGAGTGTGGTGGAGAGGGATTGGGAAGGGGGGATGTTCACATTTGGTATTAGATAATTATTAACCTACCTAAGTGGTATAAACGTCAGGATGTTCTTAATCCCATGCAGATTATTATGTTCGTCTTCATAGTGAAGTATTAAGTCGATCGGGTATCTCCACTCCGTATCTGAAGACGTTGATCATTCTCTGCCTAAGTTGACCCTGTCAAGCAAGATCGAAGCCGCCCGCCGACTAACTGATCTGGATTTCGCCAATGTGGTCGAGCAGCATATTATATAAAAATACTTTAATTATACGAATATATCTTAGAGTAGTGAAGTTTTCGGAATTGGCAAACCGATTCGAAGCTCTCTGTATTTTGAATAAGTAGCCAGCCCCCAAAATTATCATTCTTGTGTCGATGGGAGTGTAAACACATTGATAGCAATAGTTTTCCTTTTCCTTCCAGGTAGGGGAGCCGGAAGGTAAAGGGGTCGATTAGTATTTTGATATAGAGAGCAACAGCTCTTGTCAGTATGTTAGTTTTTTAGAGCGTATGAACCGCATTTTGCAGTGTATGCTTTCCTAGAAGCTGAGAACGTTTCTGAGTTTTCAATGGTCTACTGGAGTAATAATACTTGTATAGCGAATGGAGTATGTATAGCATAGATAAACATTATATCAATGCAAATAATATTATTACTATCATTATTATTATTAAAATTGCAATAATGATAATAATAATTATTATTAATCATTATCATTATCATCATTATCTTTATTATTATTATTATCATTGTTATTATTATTGTTATTTTTTTTATTATTATTATTATTATTGTTGTTGTTGTTGTTGTTATTAGTATTATTATCATCATCATCGTTGTTATTATTATTATTGTTATCGTTATCATTATCATTACCATTTGTTAAACATGTTTCTCAGTTCCAAAAAAACTGTTTTCAGGTACCATCCTTTGCTCGTCCTGTCGGAGCGATACAGAACCGTCCTGTGAGACTCGACCCCCAACCCCTAAGCCATGTGCCAAGTCCAGCAGCGGTATCGTTGAGTCATGCTCCACGGTCAAAATCTACGAGAAAAACTCCGGTGAGTCTGTGAAACTTGCCGACAGAATAGTTTTGTTTTTTATCGTGTCGGAAATACCCCACAAGAGTGAATGGTTAGGGATATTTATACCAATCCAAATCTATGGATCAGAGGTTTTGTTACAGTACCTTTGGCAGCATTATTATGGCTGCTTCTCACGAACATCTGAGAACACTTTTTCAGTAATGTCGCCATAAATCAGTCCTGGCTCATTACCAGTCTACGGGAAACTACGGATTATGTACTCTGTCTTCGCAACGCAAGGAAGATTGAAAGCCGTCCTATTTGAATAATTAGTTAAAGTGATTTTACCGTTACAGGATATCCTGGTCTTTTTTTATTTATTGTTTTCCTATTTACGTCTTTCCCATAACATCAGGCAAATTTTCAACGATGTCATCAGCGATATCTATCTATCTATCTATCTATCTATCTATCTATCTATCTATCTATCTATCTACTATCTATCTATCTATCTACCTAGACGTTTGGTAATGTAGATGTTTATAACATACAAATAGGTCATGTATTCTTTTCTTCCCACCTACGTCTAACATATCTGCAAACGAGCTCAGGCGAGATCAGTTGATACCATGCTGTTTTGTGTCCAACGAGTTTTCAAGGTCAATGTCTACGTAGCTCGGTCCTATCGAAGTCCCAACTTTTAAAGAGGGGGGAAGGCATGTCTAAAATGGAACTTTAATTGTTTTGTTTATGTTTACGGTTACCATGACAACTGCGGTCATATTGAAAATAAACATCTTTCTTAAAAGTAAAAAGGAGTTTTTATTTACTAACCAGATTTGCTCAAATTTGGTACATTGATAAATATACTCAATACAAAATCTTATACAGTTGGGATCTTAGATATCTTGAATAGAAAAAGTGGATTGTGATGGATAACTGTTACTGACCTACCCCTTCATGCCTCGGAATTCGATTACACAATCATCAATGTGACTCACTTATGAATGCATCGATTTTATTTTCCACCTGTGTAAAGTTAGGTTGTAGTGTGAATAACAAGCCCTGAAAGTTTCATTTGAATCAAAAAGAAAAGAAAAAAGTGGATGAGAAAAAATATCAAAAATTGAAGTTTTGAGAAAAAACGACATTTTGTTACATAACATGCAATATAAAAGTTCTAGGACAGAAAATCTGTTTTGTAACACAAAGAGTAATTACTTTTTAGATTTACAAGATTGAAATATTATAATACGTAAAAAGTCCAGATATCATAAATTGATCCACAATGTTTGTCTATCTGTCTCTCTGTACCCCTCTTAATTGCTCTTTGTTTCTGTCTCTATACAAAAAAGTATCCACACATAATCTCGTTACTCCTCTAGAATGATGGCTCATCTCATGTTTTGTGACTTTTGAGATAAATGGGAAAAACTGTTTAACTTGACTATTTGTCATCTAATAATGATAAAACTTGCCGTTCATGTTTCTTTTGTGGCTGCCAGCGCAATTTAAAAAAAAATGTATATATTAAATATATGAGTGTATGTGTGTATGTAAATATTATATTTTACCGAAAAAATAGATATTGTACCACGGAACAGAAAAAAGGCTAGTTACATTTTGGCACAACTCTGAGTAATGAAATTTTGCTAGCATAGTATGAGAATTCAATTCGTATCTTACAGTCCTCATAGATCCGGCCACTAACCAAGTACGACAACCCTGCAAATGCAGTCCATATTACCGTGTCGGATTACCCTCTATGACGTGTAATGGTCGCCCTACAGTGGAGTTTGCTCTCCTCCTTTTCTTGACTCTTCAATGGCATAAGAGATACAGCCAGCCCATTGACTTGTACTTCATGAGACGCCTCTCTTTTTAAAAAATGCCCTCAATTTTATCAAAAGTGTGCGCTTCACAGTGATCTGGAAGTACATCAGAGTGCGTAATGTAGGTTGCCATAGTACAGGTCTGCGAGTCCGTTCTTCATCTTTGATTTTCAGTGGAGCAGATGTTTGTCGTGAGACCATTAGGCTTTTCGCCGTTTTACGCAAAAGCTTGAGTTTT